GGTAATAAAAATCACTATCTACATCGAATGAGTTATTTAGTAAAAACGTAAATAAACGAGTGCCACAAAATATTATCATTAGTAATAATCACCATTGTTGTCAATGTTTGGGATATCACTGACAGATTGAATCGGGGTGGGGGTGCGTACATAATTATATCAGTAGTTTTCCTCATTATTTAGCGTTTAAAAGACGAATTGTTTTTATTGACATTCAAGCCGGAAGTGACATTTAATTGCTAAAATAATGTAACACGTGACAGACATAGTTTCGAAAATCAGAAATGATGATGATGATTATAAACTTACTGTTGTTGGTGTTGTTCTCGATGATAATTGCAGTTATGATGTTGATGATTGCAATGATGATGCTAACGATAATAATGGCTATAATGATGCTAATGATGATGATGATGATGATGATGGTGACTATGATGATGATGTTTATGAGGGCGATGATGATAATGATGGGGTGGCGATGATTATAATGATCATGATTGCAATAATGATGATGGTTGCCATAACGACGATGATGATACATTTACTGTCTATTTGCAGAGCAACGAAAGTATGACGCATTTGGACATAAGTTATAACGAATTAGGAGAGCAAGCGGGGGTACTGATGGGTTCGGCATTAGGTACAGTTAAATATTTAAGTATTTATAGAAGCCCTGGACTGTAATAATGACTTGTGACTGATGACTTTTAACTTATGACTTTTGACTTATAAATTCAAATAATTCGAGTGGGTATTTGCGTGGAAAGATGACCGACGTCATACGGTTTAATGCCGACAGAAAATAACATGTAAAATTGAACAAAATTAACGCATTGTCTAACATGAACTCTCTCAAAAAGGAATTTTCAATATTAAGTTTTGTGGAACCGGGTTGCAGTGAGCATCTCGAATTGTCGTCAGTTTTGTAATTAAAAGGAAAAGTAAGTTATTATTGTTTGCTAATATATAAAATGCCCTTTAACATGTAGATTAATCTAAAAACTCTTATAACGATGTTAACTGCCAATGTTTTATAACTGGGATATTATGATGCTTCAATGTATTGAAGATATATCCACTACAAATGTCCAGACTTTCATTCCTTGTATTAAGCTAATATATTTAATATTTGAGTGTTGGAAACCAAAAGTTTTATATTTAGGAGAAAATCGTGTAATGAGCGGTAATGTTTTATTCCTTACAGATAATGAATTTTGACAGAAGGGAAAACGAAGAGGTTCCAAGTCATTTAAATTATATTGGCACTTCTGGATACGATAACTAAGCGTTGTACCAACTAATTCACCGAATGAAGCTGTAGATCAGATATTAAATATTTCGATCTTGGCACCGGCTAAGAGTATATTATAATATGAAAGTAAAGCGTTATGAATGGCGTTATGAACGTAAGTAAGTGGTTAGATCACAAAGGTACACATCTGAGAAAAACTCGCCGTCTTAAAAGGAGTGTTTATTGTGCAAAGAGTTCAAACAATAATTGTCATTTGGATGGGTATGATAAATTTAAACTATTTGGGTTTTGTGTCATCGGTGCAATTGGTGGTAGAAGACTCATCTGGCTTGAAGTATCAGATACAAACAATAATCCAAAACTGATTCTGAAGAATTTTCTTGATTAACTGAAGAAACTTGTAAAGACAATTAGGATTTTGAGGTGTGATGCTGGGTCAGAGAACTCGTTAGTATGCCTTTTACAACAATTCTATCGGCACGATGCAACTGACGCTTTTGCATGACAAAGGAGTTTTATAATTTTAATAAGTACCTCTCATCAGCATTTCGATTGTTTTTTGGGTTCTTTACGACAACAGGGTTTACAATGGCGGGTGAGCTTCTTTAAAAACTTGCGCGATTCTGGACGAGCTAAACCCGGTTATTTGTGCATATATAAAATTTGTTTTATTGATCTAATTAAAACACATCCTGACCGCAATGCACAAAACTGGAATACACACGTGATAAGATGTTGATATTGAGTTGAATTATGGAAAACGTACGTAATGTTCTTTTTACCAGAAATATTTGGTACCAAAGGTTACGGACAAATATTGATAAAAATTGTCAAAAACGTATTGCGTCCAGAAGAAATTTAAAGAGTTGGCACAGCTTTTGAAGCCTGACCTTCGTATGCTACACGATGCTGATACTGTTTTAGGACTATTTTTCGAACTAAATGAATTGGTGAGACAGTCACACTAAAAACAAGATTTATTGCATGGTATAGTTGAAAGGTGTTCTTTATGCCTATAAATGAAGGCGAATGCAGAGACTTCATGGGGTTTATGACAAATTATATGATGCTTTTTGTTTTAACAATCACGTAATTTGTTGAGGTATAAAATACAAACATTAAATTATTGAGACAAACATTGTTTTATATCTTTAGCGTTGAAAGTTTCATCGTTTATGATTGAAATGATAAATTGTCACATTAGTTTATTCTTTTTTTAAAAGTTTAATGATGCTAAGATCATCGATTATATGTCTGTAATTCAGACATGCAATACTTAGTTTTGTACAAGAGCTACGGCCCCTTGAGGGTTTTTTTTATATAAAAATTTTGAGATAAACAGCCACAAACATTTAAACAAACAGTTTGATAAAGCAACACGGTAAACAATGTTGTTTCGCAATTCTCTGCACACGTTCTTTTATGTTAGTGTTGCTGCTGCCTTTATGTAAATTCATCTCTCAATGCAATGGTCACTGACTTTGCAACAATGACTGCTGAGACGACATATGTGTTTCCCCTTGCAGAAATTGCTGGGAAAGATATAAAAACACAACCGAATCATTATGTATCATATACTGGTTATTCCAAACTTGCACATGCGGTATTTAAACTAGAGCTTCGTGAATCGGGGCATCATACTCCCGAAGGATGAGCCGTCTGTAATTGGGCCAATGTGGCCTTAACCTTTGACCTACTTACACGATTTGAATAAGGATCATCAATGGCCAACCATGACATCAATAATGGTGGCCCTAAGCTGGAAAGGTTTCAATTTATTGAGCGGACGAAGATTTTGTTATCAAGGTCCCTGTGACCTTGTTTTTTGACCACAAAATCAATAAGGATCATCTATGGGTCATTGCAATCCATGATACCAAGAAAGGTTATCCTAAGTGGAATAAGCTTTAAGTTATTGAGCGGACAAAACTTGGCTAACGGACAAACAGACAGACAGACAGACGAACGGACGATATGCACCAAAACGAAGGCCAATGACCTTAACTAATCATACTTGTGTCTTGTTTGAAGTATCATTACAAAAACATAAGTCGATTTCAAGTAATGTTTAAGTTTCTTTTTATAAGAATTGAAGTTTGGCAGGTTGGATGACTCTTGCTTAGGATACTAGTATACTGAGATTTGAAGCTTTAAGATTAAAGGGTATGGGTGATAAAACACGTATCAACCACTTTATAAAATTTACTTAGAATCAGTAAGTAAACAATATCATTTATTCATTAAAATGTTTTGAAACACACATGATGTAAATACACATATTTTTGTTCATAATTCATCCATTTTGCAACAAAGAAAAAACCTTTGGGCTACTTTTTTATCATTTTTGTTGGTACAAAGTCAACAGCTTCTCCGGACAAGATTTTACAAAACTTTAATGTCTTACCAGTAGGGGCCATATTCACAAAGTATCTTTACTAGATTCCGATACAAGGGAAACTTAAGTCAAATTTTTTAACTTGCAGTATTTTGTTTGTAATTTCTTTATGAAATATTCATATTCAGACCTTTTTTCATAAAGTAAAAACAATGTATCACATATGGCTGAAATTTTAATATGTCACAGTTATACATTGAGAACAAAGGCAGACACAGGACCACGCAGGACATGTTTGGTGATCTTAGCTAATGATGGTCGTAATTTGTTTTAAGTTTCTTAGTAGAAGCATACGAGTCTTTGAGATATATTAGAAATACATGAACTTGCATGTAAATTTTAAACCAAGATTTTCTAAGTTGAAAAGAGGGCATAACTTGGTCTTAGTGATGGAATGAGTCAATGTGATTTGTTTGAAGTAGCATTGCAAAAGAATAAGACCTTTTAAATGTGAAGGTACAACTTGTATGCAAATTCTTAACCAAGACTTTCTAAGTTAAATGAGGCATAACTTGATCAAAATGATGGTCAGAGAAATGGGACATGGTCAGTGACCTTAGCTAATAATGCGTGTCACTTGTTTGAAGTATCAAAAGGGGCATAACTTGATCAAAATGCTGGTCAAAGTAATGGTGCTTTGTCAGTGAAGTTGATGTCAAGTTGTGTCAAGTTTTAATGCAAGAGCATAAGGATTTATTAAAATATATTGATTGATTCACATGCCGACGCCATGGTGAGTACGTGTAGGACTTTTACATGACACTCTCTTTGTATACAAAAATTCAAGGCCCTAGGTCTGTGGTTACAGAGGAGAAGGTTTTATTAAAATCACTTAAATGCCAGTAAAATGACTTACTTCGACTTAGTCTTAATTCACTATTATATGATTTTGCAAACGAAAATAAATACAAAATGTAGTAGGTTTATATTTTCAGCTCGAAACACAAAACTGGGTTACCTAAACATGAGTTGGAACAAAGTGTGTGGCAAAGGTGGAGTAGCAATATTTAGAGCACTAATGGTAAGCGATAAATTGTTCTATTCAATATATATTATTATAATAATCGGTTGTGAAGACAGGTTTGAGGCTCTTTTAATCATTCTCAAGACCACTTGCTTGAACCAACCAGTGCCAGGAAACAGGGTCTTAACTGCAGAAGAGTTAAAAATCTGGAAACAAAGTGATCCCTCGGAAGCATTAATCACAACAAAATTACAACAACAGTATCGCCGACTCGGTTTGATTGAGTCTGTACATGAGGGATAATGAATAAGTGCAACATCTCTCACGCTCCCTTACACCGGCTTGAGCGGTACTCAATTCTCAACGGCATCAATGATCCCGAAGGACCAGAAAAGTTTAACAAAACTGAAGTGAAGTACGGGGCAACTTTTTACAGCTGCCACACAACACTTGACACCTGCTGTTGTGAAGTATAAAAATCTGGAAACAAAAGCCCACGATTCCCAAGTAAGTACAGGTATCTCTGCCGTTTCTCTTAAATGCACAAAAGAGTATGCCTTTCTAATGACAAAATAGCGTAGACAATTTAATAACTGTTCGCTTTATCTTACTGTTAGTTTTTACATTTTTTTTTCAGCTGAAGTTCGTTGTTGTTTTTTAGATTTATATTTTTTTCAGACAGCGAATTAATGTATTTTAGTTGAAATGGGCATTGAGATACAAAACACGAGACTACAAAGCTTATAAGCCAACAGACGTTTGTCATCATTTCCGTAAAATTATGTTGATTTTAAAATGATTTCAGCTGAATACTACTCTGGAAGTGTTGAACATTTCTTGGAATGGTCTTGGTTATGACGGTGCAGTGGCACTCAGTAAGTGCCTTAAGAGAAATGTTGGACTAACTGACCTCGATGTGTCTAATAACAGACTCAATTGGAGATGCGCTTTCCTAATGGCTGAAGGTCTAAGAAGTAATGCTACCCTTGTAAAATTGAAGGTATGTCAACAGTATTTGCCACTTAAGTATTAAAATACTACAGTTTTTTTTAAAGAAAATATTCTTTAAATATTCCCAATTCATAATAGCCCGATGCTTATGCATCGATATTGCAAGTGTCAGTTTGTTGTAATGTGTAAATAAAAATGATGTGTAGTTTCTACTATATCCTTGTTATATTAAATAGATTCCTACTCAAATTCTCATTTACGTGTGCTTTTGTTAATTTACATAATTTCTGAGTCGAATATAATGTATACTCAACAAAATGCCCAACCTATGAGTTTTTGCGATATTATCTGAAAACTTATTGTGGTATCATTTTGTATTAATATGGAAATAAAAAATCAAAGCAATGTTGTGGGGAAAAACGTCTTTTTTATTTCTTCATCTAAAAACATACGTTGCATTTCATTAAAACTACCCCACCCACTTACTCGTAAAGTTTTAAATGTTTTCTTTCCATGTTCTATGTTTATTTTCACATTTCATTACTTATATATTTTCATAGACATTACATAGAACGTAAGTATTGTTTCTTTCAGATTGGACACAATCCTCTTACAACAACTGGCGGGATGGATATATTAGAAGCCGTTTCAATAGAAGAAAGCGCCATATGTCTTCTAGACTTTACAGTAAGTCCACGTTTGACCAAGAGCATTATTCAAAGACTCCCAGATGAATGTCTGTGGCTGAGAGGTGAATGTTTGTGGATGAGAGGAAAATGCTTGTAGCTGAGTGCCGAAAGTATGTGGATGTGTGCTAAATACATCTGGCTGTATGCTGAGTGTCTGTGATATTGTTGTCTGTGAATTATTTGGCCCTATCTGTGAGTTCAATGTACTCTGTTCTGTTTGCATTGGTAGGACAATTTCTGTCATGCTACACTAAACATCATAGGTGTACATAATTGTTCATGAATAATTATTCATGCAGAATATTCTCCAGGACTTGTAACTTTCAAAATTGATGCATTCAGTCCTTCTACAATGAGATGACCATCCCCCACACCACTGATAATATATATTATGCCCTGAAGGGTGGCATATTAAAATCGAACCGTCCGTCTGTCAGTCCGTCCGTCCGAGCAAACATTTTGGGTTTAGAGGCTATATAACAGTAAAGAGAACAAAAGAGAACAATAGGTTCATTCCGTGTTCAAAGGGTTAAGGGGCTAGTAGCCCTTAAGAAAACAAAGAAAATAACAAAGATAATAGCCCCTAAAGCCAAAATGTTAGAACGTCCGTCCGTCAGTCCGTCCCGCTTTATACATATAGACAGTGGTGGTCGTGTCCGCTCTGAAACTTCAGTATGCATGAAAGGATTTTAATTTTTATTTCATATATGAAATAACCATAGATGTATGGTGTGTCGCGAACAAGACTCGGGTTTCTACCGCTAAGGTCAAGGTCACTGTTGGGGTTCAAACTTTGTCATTTTTTTATGTTATATAAATATAGACGGCGGTGGTCGTGTTCGCTCTGAAACTTCAGTATGCATAGAAGGATTGCAAAGAACATAGATCACCTTCTGTGTTCATACAACGTTCTTAATTTTCCCCAGCAAAACTGCCAAGTGAAATGTCCATCTCCTTTAAGTCACCTGACTGACAGACTTTTTCCTCGGGGGGCAAATTAACTTTGTGCCCCTTTCAGTTATTTTCTTCACTGTTAAATCTTCATCTGCATTGTAGTCAATTTGTCTAACTCCTCTCCCCTTTGTCTTTGTGATGACTCTGTATTTTTCATTTGAAAAGTGCTGCCATTCAATATATAGCTTGTAGGTTGCCTTCTACCGCCTTCTACCGTGTCCTTTTTTCTTCTGAAAAGCACAAAACTGACAATATAAGCGATGATCTTAATAGATTTTTTTTGTTTTTGTTTGTTTTGTTTTTTCAACGTATAACTATATAGACACAGTTTCATTTTTATTATTAAAGAACCTTAGAATAAATTTCACTTTCAGGAAATACCAGTTTTAGGAGCGGCTGATCTACTTGCGGCGACCATTAGCAGGCGGAGAACATTCAAATTCATACACGGGGGAATCGTTCCTACGCATGACAAATTAGGACAGCGTCTTGGTAAACAAACTTCATGAGTATTCACAGTTAAATTGTTATTCCTTGTAAGGCTGTAATAGTTTTGTTTGGAGTGTAAGTTCTTTTGGCATGTGCTCTTAAAACGTTGGAAAACTCGTGTTTAAATAACTATTCTTTTGGGGTCACACGACTAACCGAAATACCCCAAGAATACTCGATAACGATATAAGAAAGCAACCTCTGTCATTATGAATATTGTATCGCGGTAATACTTAATGAAATACTCACTACGTGTGATTTTATGATACACGTTCCTTAGGCAGTATTAATAATATGCATGTATAAAGACCTAACGCTAATGACAACAAAGGTACCTAAATGTCGTCACAACAACAATTAGCCAGCATTCAGGATTCGAATATGAGAATAACCGATTTCCATACATTCTAATTAACAGGCATCCGTGTTGGTATATTTGACATATATTTTATATTTCCTTGAGTAGAACAAATTTGTTAAGAGTAGTTTAAATGATTTAAGTTCAAGGAAAATTCAGCAGCAGCTATTTAACACAACTAACCTCTATACGTACATGCTGCTGATAAATGGGCACTGTGTCATGGAGAGTAATGAGCTGTATTGTATCTTTAAAACAGGCAGGGAATTAAATCCCATGTTACGAATTATAGAGTATCTCCGCTTGTTGGGTCTACGACCATTAGAACTTATGAAGTCATTTGACAAAACATCTTCGTTTGAATTACCAAGACAGGATTTTATCGATCAAATCAAGGTGAGTATAATGAGTTCTGCAAGAATGATGCGATAGAATTTCAAGTGTTAAGTGAAAAGTCGCCGTATAATATTTACTGTGTCGGGGTGACTTTTAAACAAAAGAAAACAAGCAAATAAAAATTATAATTATGAACCGTCAAATAAAATGGAATAGAAATAGAAAAAAATATATAGAATTAATTGAAAGAAAAAGATACATGACTTAATGGTAGATGCCCTCTGAAGAAAGTTCCTCTTAGCATGTATATACATGTACATACAAGTATCACCTTAATCACCTAAATCATATGAACATGATATTTCAAAAAGACAAAAATAAAAGTTTGCATGAACTCTCATGTCTCGTCCATATTTCATTAAATTAAATTGCTGTTTTTGTTGTTGTTGTATTTTCAGAAGATTGGCGTGAAATTACATCCTTATGAAATAGACGCACTAGCAAATTCAATATCCGGGAAAGGATACAATAAAAATGTTATTAACTACAGGTCATTTAATAGTTATTTATATATTTATCATATATAACTACATTCAATACTATTATATGATGTGACATTATTATTTTATATTATACAAATATGGACTTTTTAGCTATTGACTATGATGTGATATGCACATATCACACCATATTCAACAGCTAAAAAGTACATATCTGTTTTATTATATAATTTATAAATAGCTTTTATATGGCTAATATAAATATATATCAAATCTGTCTTTGCATACGACGGAAATCATTTTTTCTTTCAGCTTGTCTTTTTTTTCCAAAACTAGGCCCTTTCTTTTGAATGAGCATATTGGCATGCTAAACCCTTTTGTTCTTAAAAATGTAAAGACGGTAATTAAAATAGACTAATTGACTCTTATTTACACATCACTTAACGTTTTTTTTTTCAGAATAATAACAATAAACTTGGCGTGACATGACGTCACGTCATAGTCTTGCGTCTGTCGTGGCTTTCCAGAAAATCTATAAGGATAAAAAAATAGTGAAGGTACTCAAAATTTGCTACAAAGAAATTTGCTTGTTAGCCAATCAGGGAAATGCATTTCAAAGCTATTTATAGATTATATAATAAAATTAAATATATTTTTTCATCTCTACCATGATCAGACTTTGTATTCAGTACAGTTCTTTACATCGTGCTTGTAGCAAGAAAATTATGTATTGCTACTTCTCAGGAGCCTTTCTGTCATTTTAAGACAGAACGAAAAGACTGGAAGGGCTAACGTATTAGTAAATATAAATTTTTGAAAATGCCATGTAAGCTAAACTTTACCAATCTTTCAGAGTGAAGCTATTGTCAATAAATTTGCAGTAACTGTTCAGAATAAGATTTTAAATGCATCCCAGTGAAAGAAGATTCTGAAATTCATTGTTCCTTCATTATTTCCTATTTTATTTATTTATTTGCCTATCTAAAAAAACAATTAAAGAAGAACAACAAAATCGAATGTATTAATTGCAAACTAAAATATTTCTTCGCTGTTTACAGAGGTTTGCTCCCTTTTCTAATTTACAATTTACTTTTATTTTGGTCTCGTTTTTATGCATTTTATAACAAATGATAACAAAAGTAACACGTAGGTCTATCGTACCTGATATGTTAATGTGTTAAGTAACATTAAACTGTGAATTACAGTCAACAAGACGTACATGACATTTCAGGAAACTTTCTGTGGCAGTACGGGATGTAGTAAAGGACGAACGAGATCGTAAGCTACGAGAGCGGGAGGAATGGCTGCAGATTAAAACATATCACGAAAGTATTTTAAAGAAAGGAACTTTGGATGAATACATGAGTCATTCCGGAAGTACACGATTGATAGGTTAGTTTTTCATTTGTGTTTATTTAAATCATTTTCTTACAAAATTATAAACAGTTACCCATTTAATGATTTGTCATTAAAACATGTTCAGTGTCAAATAGTAATACATTGTAAAAATAACCCGTTTCATTAACCTGTAGAAAGTTGGCCCCTTTTAAAGATTCAAACTGACTATTACCACGTTGTTTTTGTGACATAATTAATATAATTATTAGTTCCTACCGGTTTAAACGGAGGGGCTTTAGGATTTACCCTCCGTCTGTCAGTCCGCCCGCCCGTTCGTCAGTCCACAAAACTGGATTCTGTGATAACGCAGAAAGTTCTGAAATATTTTTATGTAACATAATGTATTGGTAGATGGCGGTTTGGAGATTATGCACGTTATTTTTAAGCTCGATTATAGGGAGTATCGGCATATCCTTCACAGTCAGCGTGGGCGACCTCGTCCAAATTTCTGATTCCAACTCTATAAGATTTTTTTCTATATAAGCAAAGAACGCTGGAAACGTGCGTTCTTCTACGATAATGCACTCGCGCTTCTTATTTCCTCCCTCTTTATTTTCAAACCGACACGTTGACGGCAACATTTTGTTTGAAAAATCAGATTAATAAAAAACAACTTTTTGTTGAATTTTGTTCTGAAAACAGTCCAGAATGGTAGAAAATGGTCAAACTAAGAAAATAAATCCGAACATCAATATCTTTAGTTCAGTCATTAACGCTGAACAGACGTTTAAAGTGTTTAAAGTGATGTTTATGTGACGTTACAATGTAACGCCAAACAGCGCGTGCAAAAACAGTCAAAACAAAAACCTTTTTAATTGTTGCAAACCATTAAAAAATCACATTTATTTCACTATGAATAGTCCGTATTTGCTTGAAAAATATAAAGTGAAATAAAATAAACACACAAAACTTTATATACGTTTTCAAAATTCAACATTCTCTAAGTTTTTCTGCAAGTCCTTCACTTAACGACAGCTTTTTTCAATCGATTGGAATAGCTTTCAGAAAGAACGTTTCTATTGGAAACTCTGAGGCGAAAACAAATTTAACCACCATATATATACTAGGACGAAAAAGAAACGCCGGGTACATAAAATATGCAACACATATTTTATTGCTTGGCCTAAAATAATGAAAATCGGTCAGATTTATATAATGCCCCATGTCGTCAGAGTTTGCCAGCAATTTCTTGCCCACAGTAACATACACACCCACTCGATTGGCCAGCATTCAGCTCCAGATTTGTCACAATTGAACATTTGTGGGGACGAACTGGTAGGAGGGTAAGGAGACGTCCAAATGCCCCCACTTTATCATGTCCAGCTCACACATGCCTTGCATGAAGAATGGAATAATCATCCCCATGGCCATGATTAACACCCTGGTGAATTCCATGCATAGACGGACCAGGGCTGCCACAAGCTGCGCATGGGAGGACACACAAGATACTGATATTCCGGGCCCGTGTTCGCCAAAACCAGAAGGGTCATCGTTAAAAAATGGGGTAATTTTTCACATAATCAGCATCGGAAATCGGATTTGAAACTTTCAAACAGCTGGTTTCCATACAGATGACATTTCATACAAAAATGAATATAATAATCCAATAATACAATTTATCCCTTAAAACAATCATTATAGGTTACCCGGCGTTTCTTTTTCGTCCTAGTATATATAGTCCAACAATATTTTTTTCTTGACATGTTAGAATGAAAATAGATATTAATTCTTCTTGCATTAAAGTAAAATGATGCACGTTTTTTTCGTTCAAATGCTTTTTGTTAATCACTCAGGCCTATCGGCCGTCGTGATTATATTCCGACTCATTTGAACTCAAACCATGCATTATTCTACGAATTGATATCTATTTCCTGATTAAACTTTTTATACACTAAAGAATTTTTTCACTATAAGTTCTTTATTTCCAAAGGCATGTTCTTCAAACTTCAAGCACATGTTTCTGATCACCAACCACATTATATGTGACAATGTTCACAGCTCAGAATTATCAGAATTACCCCCCTTGAACTAAAAAAATATCACGAAAAATGTTTGTTTTTTGGTTTGTTTTGTTTTTATGCTCCCCGAAGTCGCCGCTTTGTCCGTCCGTCCGTCCGGATGTCCGAGCAAACATTTTGGGTTTAGGGGTTATATAACAGTATAGAGAACAAAAGAGAACAATAGGTTTATTCCGTGATCAAAGTGTTTATGGGCTAGTAGCCCTTAAGAAAACAAAGAAAATAGCCCCTAAACCCAAAATGTTGGAACATTCGTCCGTCCTTCCGCTTTCTTTTCCGGGACATAACTCTGAAACCACAAGAGGTATCAACATGCAACTTTGTGGGTTGATAGATCTCATTTGGAAGATGTACAGTGCACAGGAACTGTAACTCTGCCTTCCCTTATTTTGGAGTGATTGCTCTTTGTTAATTTTTACACTTTGTCCGGGACATTACTCTGATAAAACTTGAAACTTTTTAGGTAGACAGACACTTTGAACTTTGTCCGTGACATAACTCTGAAACCATTAGAGGTATCAACAAGAAACTTTATAGAAAAATAGATCTCATAATGTCAATGTGCAGTGCAAAAGAATCATAAATCTGCCATGCCTAATTTTTGGGTTATTGTCCTTTGTTCATTTTAACACTTTGAACTCTGTCTGGGACATTACTCTTACACTATGAAAGATATCAACATGAAACTTTATAGGTAGATATATCTCATTGGGTAGAAATGCAGTGCAAAAGAACGATAAATATTCCTCCTTAATTTTGGAGTTATTGCTCTTTGTTAATTTTTTACACTTTGAACATTGTCCAGGACATAGCTCTGTAAGTATAAGAGATATAAACAAGACACTTTGTAAGTAGATAGATCTCATTAGGTAAATGTGTAGTGCATAAGAACTGTAACTCTGCCTTCCCTGATTTTGGAGTTATCGCCCTTTATCAAACCACCATAAAACCAATTTCCTTCAAACAAAATAGAGTGAACTTCTTACAGGAATAATCGGGAAATCAGGATTAATATTCACGTAGTACAATCAGGTCCGTAAAAAAGAAAGGAGCTATTAATTTACCGGAAAAAACTACGGGCGATTTCAAAATGATAAAACTATGATATAACAATTCGTCAAAATGGCCTTTCTGATATTTTTTTTGATATTTTTTTTGTATATAAAGAATGCAATTTATTGCTGAATATGTCTGCATTCCAATTACTGCAAAATTTTCCAGTTCGTTATTCATTACTATAGCGCAACCGATTCGTTTCGTTTCAGACTCGCTAAACTGAAACTACTTCTATAAATAGATTTTCGGACACAATTTTATTAGGGTCATCCATTCATAGATTTCGAATTCATGTACAGTAATAAAATACATTTGTATCATAGTTTGGGGACCTTTCTGTTGAAAATGTGTCAGGTACATATACATGCACAGTGCGTTAACTAGAGTGCAGGTATTAGTTACTCGCACTCCAGAGCATGCCTATTGATTGGCTCATTTTTGCTGGGGTTTACTTATTGTGAAGGCAGATAAAGGAAAAGCGATAGAAACGTCATTTTCAGATGCTCGTTAATTGGTTCCTTTTTCTGGGGTTTTAACAGGGAGCGTGATTTTATGTTTGACTATGATACAAAAGAGAAAGAACATCAAAACACTCGGCAATCTGATTAATACTCGGGGGCTACACCCCCTCGTATGAATCAGATAGCCTCGTGTTTCGATGCTCTTTCTATTACATATACTTCAAAATAACTGGTAATTTCCTGTAGAAGAATCAAATGTAAGAAATAAATTTCCGAATGGAAGTTTATTTTCTGTTTTGTCTTTTATACTGCCTTCGTCGTGAAATTTGCCCCGTTCTCGTGTATAAATATGACATGTTGCGAATCAACGACGGGAAAACCAATATATGACTTTACATAGAAGAAATCGGAAGGGATTCTTCATTCCGAATTTATTTTTAGCTGTAAATCGAAAGGATTAATTTATAAAAAATCAGGTCAATAGACTAAAAAAGTAAATACAACTCAGCGCCTGTGTGAACATGAATCTTTGTAGGTAGTTAGATCTCATTACGAAGATATGCAATGCAAAGCAATCATAACTCTGCCTTGCTTATTTTTTGGAGATTGCCTTTTTTCAATTTTTCACTGTGAAATTTGTCCGGGACATAACTCTAGAATTTTAAGAGATATCAACATAAAACTTTGTAGGTGAATAGCTCTCATCGCGTAGATAATTAATTATGCAGCGCAAAGAAAAGTAACTCTTCTCTACCTATTTTTTGAATGAATGCACTTTGAACTTTTCTGTGTCAAAAACCTAATCGGGGAGCATCATCCGGTTCAACCGGCTCTTTGTGTTTTCTTTTTTTTTAATGTATCTACTTCGGACTTCAGATATATGTTTCTTATTGTCACTATATCATGTGTGAGAAGGTACAATACTCTAGCTTGACTACTGACAGAATTATGTTCCCCTTGAACTTATTATATTCCATAATATTTTAATCAGGTAGGATAATTGGATCAAAAACCAACACAAATTAAGTATCAAAACATGTTTCGCTTTATTAAGCTTCCTCAGTTGATACATATATAAAAATGTTAATATTTTAATCAAAATTCTTCATTTTTTAAAGGATTTACTTCAAGCTTTAAACTCCCACATCATAATCATTTACGTTTATATAAATCTAGCGTCCATATTTCTAGAATAATCTCCTCTTTATACTTTGAATTTCCTTATTCTTTCTTCCATTTGGATTTACTTATAAGCAACACCTAAATCATATGTGATGAGATTTGTAAGTCTAGTGCCTGTGTTTCCATGATTATTTTTATTTTGAACATGACATTTATTTGAAAATTGTTATATATTTTTTTAATTTTCTTCTTTGTTACTATAAATGGTATATTTGAAAATGTGATTTTTTTTCACTTTTCTTCTTTGTTACTATAAATGGAATTTACTTCAAAATTAAGATAATTGTTCTTTGTCATCACTCACATTATATATGGCCCGCCCTGTTCATAAGTCTAGCATCTTTATTTCAAGAGTTATTTACTCTTTAGTTTAAGAAGTGTGATTTTAAAAAATGCTTTATTCTGGTAACAACCGGAGATGTTTGAAGAATTAACCTTAGAGTGACTGTCAGTCTGTCTGTCGGTTTCTAAAAACAGTTTCCTCAGATAACTTTTAAAGAACTTGGAATTTATCCAACAAATGTACTTAAAATAGAGAAAGTTGAAACATTAGTTATACATATTCATCCTTAGAAAATCGTTTGATTATTTTTGTATAAACATAATTTTCTCACTAGGCAGGGAAACTTAACACATTACTATGATACATACAAACTAAGAACTCAAAAGATTTCAGTTCATTCATGTCTTCCACAATGACATAATTGAGTGACCAATGGCCCTTCAGAATGTTACTGAGGTTTAACCGGTAGGGACTTTTTTATTACTTGCAATACTATGATAATTGCTTGTTTTCCTTTGTTTTTATGTAGCTATCGGTTTTAACTGATTTTCAATATTTGTGTTTTTTTATTCTATTTTGTGTAAAAAAGTCTTAAGAGTAGTTGGCTTTTATTGATTGACAACTATCTTCCTTGTTCACTACTGACAAAGTGAACATTAATCACAGTATGATTGAATACTCGCACGGTAAAGAATACTTAAAAACCATGGACTCAATGACTACTACTCACACAGGGTATGTCATTCATCCAGTGATCATTACTTGTGTACGGCAAAATATTACCTGTCACACAGAATACTGCACGTTTGTTACGTCGGTTTTATTGTTTATAACCATAAACTATGATGTACTGCTGCTGTAAATTTATGAAGCATTTTCATACCTTATCGTGTTTCGCTTAATTATATATTAGTATTTGTTTATATACTGATACACGTATAACAAAGAAATTAGAGAGGATATGTTTCGTTTCTTTAGCATAAATCATGTTCATTGTCATATGATGGTCCATGTTGAAGCACGAGGTATGAATATACAATAACACCATTTAAAACTAATTAAATAGTTGTTTACCAAACACTTTTCATCTAAAAAATAAAAATATGTGTATATGTTGTTTTGTTATTTTTGGTTTTAGAACCAGTGGACTCGTTAAAAATGAAAAGTTTCCAAACTATCGGTCCTAGTTTGGCATCATACAACAGTAGCCGATCCAAACCAGGGTCAGTGAGTTCCAGTAAATTACAGCTGTCGTTATGTTCACAACTGGTTATGTCAAAAGGAGCACTTGGAACCGGCAAACAGATGCAGCAGAAGAAAAAATTAAAGAAAATGATATCAAACGTTTGAAAACGTTAAATAGAAATACAACGGAAGGGATCATTTAAACGTTATGCAAAATGAGATAAATACAACCGTTACGTTAAAATTATGCATCACCGTATCTTTTTTTGTACAGACATCTTTTCGCCTTTTGAATATGCATCTTTTCAAACTTTATACATCTGCAAACTAACAATTTGAAATACATTTAAGAAAGAATTAATAGTTGTGTAGTTAAACAAAACCGAAAATATACGTCCGTTTGATGAAACACCACTGGGCTCGTCATTGGCAGTGAGATGGTGACACAAATTTCCGGAGAGGACATTTTACATGCATAAAGAGAGAAAGATGTGTGTTTTATATCATGCAAATGTTCATGGTCTCAACAATGAGACGTTGTGTCGCGCCAATCAACAAGGACTCAAAGTCAAATGTCAAGATCAGATGTAAAAGCTTGTAAAACTTCGAAGGGCACTAAAGATTTTAATATAACGTGGCACAAATGTTCACAAGTATAAAAGTGCGTGTATGGACAATTTAGTAGTGTTGAATTGAAGGGTTCTTAATAATGAGACTTAGTGTTACCAGCATAATCAAGGTCAGTATGTTCAAGGTCAAGGTCAATTACTGAAATGTTAAGTTTTTGTCTGAAGCGTTTCTTCCACAGACATGGATAGATTTTAACATGCACTTGATGCAAAAAATCACCACAAGGAGAAGTGCGAGCATGGGCTTAGTTTCTATATGGTCGCTCTTTATCTTCATATATAATAACATCAAACAGGTGTGTGTGTGTGTGTGTGTGTGTGTGTGTGTGTGCGCGTGCGTGTGCGTGTATGTGTGTGTGTGTGCGTGGCTTGTTTGTTTGTTTGTTGTTTTTTATCTTGAAAATGAACATAAAAATAATCTCTACATTCATAGAGGGATTTTGTTATAACTTGGCATAGATGTTCACCATTGTGTGACGGTGTTTAGCAATTTGGTAGACTTTATCTTGAATATTTGGATTTGTATGTAAATGTTCACTATTCTTAGGCTCGAGTATATTTTCTGACAAATTGGCTTGTTTAAATATATATTTTGCCACTTTATTAAGTTGTGTATTGTGAAATTTACTCTACTGTACACTCACATCGTTTTGAAATGTTATGTAAAAGTGTCTCTGTTATTTTACACGCAATTATTTACAAGTAATCAGTATACAAAATAAAACTTTTCAGTAGATTAAGCGTTGTGTTTTTTTGCACAAAGTTGCTGATTAACATCCCTGTCAAGTTTGTAAACGTTTTTAGAGCTGCATGTGACACAACATGGGAACGCACGCACAGACAAGGGCAAATCTAAATGTCCCCTAGAGTGGGGGCATAAAAGGCAAAAGCAAAATATTTCAGGCTAGTCCATTTTATCGTTAACATATGCACTGGCCGATTAATTGAAAAATTGTGATTCCTTCCAAAAACAGAAAATACCCACCTATTTTAAAAGTACTGAAATAAATCTGGTTCTATCAGCTCTAATCGTAAGTATTGTTTTGAAGATATTGATTCATATTTACCATATAATTGTGTATAACATGTTAGGAAATAAAAAATGACATTTTATATTTTTTTCCATATTATTGACCAGTATTATCACTTAAATAGAAAATGTTCACATCATCATTATCATGATTATTATTATAATTATTATTATTATTATTATTATTATTATGGTCTTGCTAATGAGCTGAAAACTGTCATATTAGCCTGAGAACAAAGGCTGAAGGCTAATATGACAGTCTAAAGCCCAATTACAAGGCCATTATGGAAACACTTAATTAATGACAATTTTATTGATTAACTGAACATAATCTAAAAAAAGGCAAGTACATTGTGAACAAAAAATAACTGTGAAATTACGTTGTTTTAACAGTATCTCAAAAATGTGACTTTTTCAATGAATAAAAAGCAGATTCATAATGGCCGAGCTGGAGAGCAAATCAAATGTCTCCAATCTCATAATAGCCGACTTTTCTCATACAGGCCGTACTTTTGGCATAATGACCTTGTTTTCTGTTCATAATGTCGTGGTGAACTTCATATTAGCCTTACATTTGAAGTGAAAACATGCCTAATATTGAAAAGTTTATTAACAAAACAAAATTATATTGTTTATTACCTGGGACTTAAGATACAGTAGTTATATTTCAAGTCCCATATTTATACAGAAAAGAGAACACACTGGAATGACAAGTTCGAGATGAATTTTAAAAAGACCAAATTCATGATTTTTTTAATACGCGCAAAAATAATGGTGCGTTAAAACAACCATGTATAAATTTGCATGCCATGTTGATATGGTGAAACATTCTTTATTAATATAATGGAAGACTGTTACCTGACTTTTAGACAGGTTTGAGGAAATTCACTAACATCATGTTCATGCCAGTCAAAGATATAAAAGCTACTTGAAATTGGTGATAGATAAAGAGCTATTGTTAATTCGATACCAATCTACTTTTTGTTGAATTGCTTCAAAATCGTCGTCTGACCCACTTGTGTGTTTACAGTCCTATCAAAAAACATATAACACCTCATGTTAAAAACTGCAGACGAAAGTTTCTGTTGTTAAAATGTCATAGTATTGGGCAAATTGACATTCCACTCAAACCATCTTAAAATCAATTGCCTTGAAACAAAAAATAATTAACTTCTTACAGCAAAGAATCAGGAAATTAGAGTCAATTAAAGAAATCACGTTAGTGCAATCAATTCCTTAAAAAGAAAAAGGAGCTATTAATTTACTGGGAAGAACCTATTGCAAAAATTGGTTTGATTGAGCCTGTTCATGGACGGTAATGGAATGTGCAAGTTACCGTCCACGCCCCCTAGCACCGGCTTAAGCAGAATTTAACATTTTAACACAAAAATGGTGAAATTTTTTCATACGGCGGTTATCATAGCACCTTCAATGTGACACGAGTGTCATTCCATGAAAAGCGACGTATGGTCCCCAAGTGAAAGAATGTGTGTGCCCTAAACGAGAAAACAATGGGCGGAACTAAATAAAAAAAATGAATTTTGAAAGGGGATCTGAGGTTAAGAAGCCTGCATATCACAGACAAGACGTCAAAAGACAAATTTAAAAGGCAGGCAACATATCCTAAGGGTGATTAAACAGTATTCAAATAGGAATACTGGAACTACCTAAATTGAAAAAGGCCAAATACAAGAAACTTAAATACAATCTTAAATATATACACAACTATAATGTCGTGCTGAACAATCTTCAAGGATCGAAAATATAACATCATTGATAAAATGTACGGGGAGACTTTTTACAGCCGCCAAATGGCACAAATAACACGGATGTGACAATGAAATAGTGAAAAACAGAATCCCTAGGATTTTGAAGACGAGAAAAGAAAGTATCCGTTATTATCATTAGCGGTGTTGTTAACGGAATAGAAAGTCCACCATAACAAGAGTGTTGTTGACATTTAATTAATTAAGGGAAAAGAAATATATTTTAAATACTTTTTGTCTGATTAAAACTCTCAAATTTACAGTATATCATTCACTACTGTTATGTATAAATGTCTTGGCCTAGGGTAACATTGATCGACTTTCTTTGCAGAAAATAATCTCGAACCTTTACGGCCTCGACTACAATTTTGTAGAGAAAATACAAATTAACAAAAAACTATGAATCGAGACATAATATTTTGTAATATGATATTAAACGTGATCAAAAGCTTGAATTGTCGCAATAGATATTAAATTTGAAATATTATCTAAGGTTTATCATAACAGATACACTTTTTGCACAATGACATTTAAATTACGAGGGCTGTTCGAAAAGAATTGCTTATTGTCCTTTATCTCGTGATCCACGCGGGACACGATAAAAACCAATGCATACCTGTATAGGGTAATTCAATACCTACACAACGGTGTATAAATGTACATGTTAGACTAAGTGTAAGACATACAATTTGACATTTAAATAAACGCAGTCATTGACCACTGTAGTAAAAATGGTTAGTAGAAACGTCGACAAAAAAGATAAAATACGGGCTTACATCAAAGCTTGCTCAAAACTAGGATGCTCTTTGAAGCAGTTGATGACTGAAATGTCTACTGCTTATGGGCCTTCTTGTGTGTCTTATGACACAGTTAGGCGACAGAAAAAGAAAAGTGAGTCTGTTGTAGAATGCATCAAAAATGCACCAAAATCAGGTAGGTCAAAATCTGCATCTCGTAACGAAGTCGTTTCAAAATAAAGGATATCATTAAAGGAGATGTCAGATTAATAGTTCGTGATATTGCACGAAAGGTAGGCATATCACTATCAACGGTTCCCTTTATTTTGAAGAAGCATTTGAAAGTTAGAAAGATTTCTGCAAGATGGGTGCCACATCTGTTGACCGATGAGCAAAAGAGGCAACGGGTTAAGATGGCCAAAGAGCTGCTTCAAATGTTTAAAAAATATGACAATAAAAACAGTTGCATTACCTCTGAATTTTTCAGCTGATCTATTTTTTTACCTTGAGAAATTAGAACACAAGTTAATTTTGAATAAATTTATATTATCTTGCATAATTATCTTTCTTTTGTATCGTTTTCTTTTGAGCTGATTAGGATAGTGATGTGCGGACAAAATTCTAAAAGCCGCCTTTTATGTGATTAAGCTATGTCAATTGTGCATTTTTTTATTTTGTTTGAACTTGGTAATTAACTTGTCTGATGCCTTTAATGGCTTTTTTCAAATTTAATGCTTTATTGTTGATCCTTTGCTTATAAAAAGTTCATGTATCGTTTAAAATGGATATAATTACTTAATGCCAAATACATTGGGATAAACTATTACGAGCATGTCGGCACTGTCTGTATATAAATAAGACACGTAGTACACAATTATTGGTTAACAGTTTGTGTACGACATTGACTTAAGGTATTAGAACCCTAATGGGCACTATAAGGAACTAAAAAATTGACATCATAGGTCAGATGTATACCTTAAAGTACACCTGTATGCAAAATTTAAATAAAGTTTACCGTACGGAAATCAAGTTATGGCCACTTTTCTGAACTCAAGCTAGGACGTTATGAGGGCCCTTTTTTAGAAATGAGGAACCTTTAAATAATCTGCAATAACTTTCTAATGAAAAAATGTTTTCCCATTAATTTTTGGTAAGAAACAAATAGTACCATTCAGCTAACAATCCACATAAGCAAAATTATGGTTTCTACTTAAAATTTATTTAATATGTATAAAAATGTTACCCTACCTCACCCATTTTTACCACGTGTCTGACCATTTTTCTACTAACGGAGCCTTATTTAAAAAATTCTTAAAATTTACCCAAATGAGTGCCTGTTTTCAAAGTTTCCCTAAATTTTTAAAAAAGTATATTGGTTGATCTTGTAAAATATGAAATACTTTTACCGTCTAGTTTTGATTATATTACACTTTGAAAATATCAGGTACCATATTTATTACAAGATTTAGCATAATTTAGCCAATAAATACCTATATAAATTAAAAAATCAAAATTAAACACTTTTTTCTTTCCAAATGGGACATAAGAGATACATAAGTAATGTAAAAAGAAAAAAAGAAAGAAAAAAAAAGTTTACCCTTCTGGGGATTGAACCCATGGCCCTCATTTTCAATGTAGTTAACAGTAGTTCTAGCCTATTTGAATACTCTTCAACGCGGAGGTAATGCATTAGGATGCTAATACCTTAAGGGAAGCGTACCCGTCCTGTCAGAGTATAAGACGAGAAATACTATAAAAGTAATAATATTTTCGTGTCGTAACGATTAACCCTTAATTTCAATTTCCTCAACTGTGCAGATCTGAACAGACATTCGTTTAGGTAGTATTTTGTTTAGTTCTCCCTAATTCGATTCCTTTGCAGCCATTTAACGCGCTTGTAAAATACACATATGATTTTATATAGCCTGCGTGTTGTTTCATATATCTGTTTTATTGTATTCTTTAAAATGTTTTAGTATATTTTAACGAAATAAATAAATATATCTGTCTAAAAATCAGGAAACAAAGTGATCCCTCGGAAGCATTAATCACAACAAAATGACAGAAGAATTGAAGACTCGGTTTGATTGAGTCTGTACATGAGGGATAATGAAAACGTGCAACATCCCTCACGCTCCGCAGCAACGGCTTGAGCGGTTCTCAATTCTCAACACTTAACAGTGCTGGCATCACTGATTCCAAAGGACCAGAAAAATATAACAACACTGAAGTGAAGTACCGGACAACTTTTTACAGCTGCCACACCATGCACACAGCACTTGACTTCTGCTGTTGTGAAGTATAAGAATCTGGAAACAAAGTGATCCCTCGGAAACAAAAATATTATAAGAGACTTGCAGACACGGCTTGGTTGAGTCTGTACATGAGGAAAAATGAAAACAAGCAACATCCCTCACGCCCCCTAGGGTGAAAATCAAATTGTTTATGCATTTCATTCAATATCTATTTATTAATTTATTATTTGGAAACGTCCTTAGATATAGTTTTTATCTTATATTTCTATCTCTATATTTCATAATCACTATTTACCGACCGACGGGTAATATTGTAAAATCTTTTGAGTTATTATTTATTTTGCTTATTTTTTGTAAAAAAGCATTTTGCTTTTTTTTGTAAAAAAGCATACCACTTATGCAATAAATGTATCGTATATAGGTGAAATTTTATTTATGTGAAAAAGTACATATCAACGTATAGAAGCACAATATATAGATTTAAGATAAGTTTAATGTTGCGAAAAAGATGTGTTTTTTTTAATCGTTTCAATCTTACGTATATTGAAAATGTTAATCCTAATCAACGTTTTGTACTATATATGAAACTTTAAAAATGTTTTTGTAAAGTCGACAGAAAATCATTTTGAAGATTTCAATCCAACTGCAAGAGGAATTTTAAATAGTAAATTAAAACAAACTTTTAGTTAGTGTTATTATAAATGTAATATAATTTCTAAAACATATCGCCAATTTGTTACTTGTGATCCAATTTTGTAAACCACCCCCTCTCAAGAAAGAAAAAAAAATACAACCAAAAAATCAATAACAGCAACAATAAAAAAGAAGAAAAAACACGCGCACAAACAGACAGACACACGCACGCACGCACGTATGCACACACACACACACACACACACACACACACGCACACACCAACACACACACACACACACACACACACACACAACAAAAACATCTTTATAGCATGGAACCATTTGCAACAAAAAGTCACACGTATAGACTTGATTTACTCATTTATCTTATTAAACTATTTATCGCCTTAAAATAGTAGCTATGTCATAAAATTTTAACTGATCAAGTCTAGTATGATGAAATGCATAGCAATTGCAACATTATGCATGGAATTAATAAGGTGTTTGCAGTAAACATGCAATTTTATTTAACATGATGTAGACAAGTATATTTCTGCTGAAATTTCATAAATACTTTACGATTTTCAAACGTGGTTTAATATTTTTCGGTTAAAACATTAAAACAAACAAAACAACAATAAAAAATATTATTGTGCATATAACTCACAGTTTAGTTAAGTGCATATAACCCACAAGTTAGCAATATAATGATGAGGAAAATCGTCGACGGCTCTAAATACACGGCCAACGACCTGATTAACTTATAAGACATTATGTATGAAGAAGAACACCAATAAACGAATTCCGACGATGGCTGTCGTCGTGAATCTGAAAAGTAGAAGAAGAATATCCAGAAGTACACATTATCCATACTTGGTCACCTGTTTCCATCCTTGTAAGGGCGCTTACAGAACTACAGCCGGCGTATTTGTGTTTATTTTCATCGGCTTGTTCAAATTGTTGTGATCTTGCTATCCACTCACCATCTTTCACAATAGCATAGTGAATAACAAGTGCGTATGTGTTGCAAACATGGGCGGTGAAGTGATAAAGACCGTTAGTTGGTGCCGTAAATACTCCACTTTTAGAATCATATCCTTTCCCTTCGTTTATGAGCACCGACTGAAGAATAAGAATTTCGTTCGTGTGTAAACTCTTGTCGAATGGATTATAAGCACTGAAAGCTACAGTCTTGTAACCAAACGTTTCTGAAAAGAAATGTATAAAAGTATTATCAAATTGAAATACAATACATGTAAAAGATTTATGATTTACATGGACTACAATTTGCTCAAGTGTTTGTTGATTGAATTTATTGTACAATAAAAAATTCCTCGTAGCACATGCTATTTTTCTTCTATATGATTTAAATGTACAGGGCAAGTTTTGCTCCGTCTATGTGATATTTTTTTCATTTATTTATTTTTTTTGTACAAAGAAGGTCTTACTTCAATAAATATCCCATTTCTATTAAGTTACAGATATATTATTTGAACCATTCGCATTTCATGGAATGTCGCTGTCGCATTAAATGTTCCATCATTATATCCAAATGGACAATGTGCGGATGCGTCTCCATTCAAAATTATATAATTTCATATTCTGATTAAGCCCATGCTACAGGCGTGGAAAGAAGCTTGCACTTTAACTATCGTTCATGAACTGGCTGAATTAAACCGAGCCTGCAAATCGATTTAAACTTTCTTGATAAATTCCTAATTTTTTTATTTCATGTAGATGACAAAAAAATTATATTAACATTCCCCATTTACCGTGGTGTTATATAGAACAATTTGTCGCCTGCCGGAAGCGATCATTTTAGACCAGACACCAAGTACCTCACCGTCTTGTCAGGAACCAAGTCGTTTGACTGTCAACTATTTTCATGCCTTTTAGACAATTGGTTTGTTATTAAACTTAGACTGACGATATGTTCCAAGATTGCAGGGTAAATTGTCAGTAAAAACTGGTATTTGATAGTGCTATACATAACAATTTACTAGCTTAAATGAGGCTGAAGTACCGGAAAACTTTTATTTTACAAAAATAAGAAGAAAATAAAAATGTATTTTTTTTTCTTTACGTATTTAGTTGTAGAAGTAAGATAAATTAGATATTGTTTCGATCATGTTTTACAACAAACAAAATTTGAAACCTAATAAACGTAGAGAACAAAAAATAAATCACAATGCGTCGCAATGTTCGTAAACAATCTTCAACCTTGATTTAAACCTTGATCCAAAAATATATACACTTAATTGTATTTTTACAACTTAAATCATTGTTTAGATAGAGTTCGTGACTAATAAAAATTCCCCACTCTTTCTGAATGAATGTAATGAAAATTGAATAATTTAGAACAATAATAACACGTACAAACAAAAAAAAGTTTAATAGTAGGTTCCATTTTGAATTTTCTTTTATTTATAAGCTTATTTGTCTTAGCTATAAATGTTCACATATATTCAAGACAGATATAAAGTCATAACAAACGTGAACAGCAATTCTATATAGAATTACAAGAGACTTTGTTAAAAATAAATAGTTAAATGGCTACAACTCTGCAGCTAATATTCATCAATTTACAATGTATGTACTGCAGATTTATTTCCCTTTGTGACATAGATCATATTTTACAATAGACTCGCAAAATAATGGTCATCACATTGAAGTCTCCTTTCAATGTCAAAATTTGCACGCCGAGATGCTATAAAAGACAGCTTCATTTCCCACTTGTGATGTTTTTTACAGAAATTGTCAAATTTTACACCTACATGTACTCGTATTATTGCTCCTATAATCACAAAAATCATAAAAATTAGAAATGTGATAGTTAATTGCATTGACATGAATCGACTTCAGTATTTACCATTGGTGAATGTTTGAAATAAGTTCAAACATGTTTATAAATACCTGCTTGACCATTATCCTGCTTTTAAATCTTAAATCTCTAAATATCGCTCAAATCTTTCAATGACATCGACAAAAGTTTTGAAAACATTTGATACAAGATTACTCAGCTTTGCAAATATTATAAAAGGGAGAAGAGAAATCAAGTTGGCACGAAAATATAGACTAAGAACAAAATAACATAAAGTTGTTGGAAAAATTTAAATGAAATTAGGCAAAATATTTAAAAAAATCAAAAGTTCTTACCTTGAAGACTTTTAACTCTGTCTGTGATATTCATCATTCCCTTTTCATGTTTGTCGACCATCTGGTCCATTTCACCTTTACGCTTTTCTAAAATAGCTAGCATATATTCTTCCGTTCTCCTTAAATCGTTCGCCATCTTCTTTACTTCGTATCTTGTCTCGGTAATGAATTCCATTATTCTTTTATCATAGTCAAATTTCGAACATCCTGGTTCTTCGGTATAAACAAAATGACATACGTTTAAAGCGAAGGCTATGACAGCAAACCCCAAATTTAGTTTTAACATTTTGCAGCGTACAACTATTAGAAACCGCTCAAGAAGTAATTAAGTTGTCAGCAAGAACGGATGATTCATAATTATAAACACGTCGTGCACTTTTTTGGTACACCCAGTCATTGAATTTCGTCTTAGGTCTATAGTCCTACTTCCTGTGTTATGTTAGATCAAATAAGTGTCTCATTGCATGCAGAAACAAATTTGTTAAAATCACTTGGTGAAATCATTGCTGTCAAAATAAATGTTTGATTTGTTACTCGATTACGTTTGTTTAAATTGGATACCTTAGGTTTAGTTTATTTACAACAGTTGAAAATCGTCTCACAAGATTATGGAAGCGTGAGATGCAGTGATTTGAAAAAAAAAACAATATATAAGTTAGGTAGTAGTCACTGAAAACTTCCTTGTTATTATTACATGAAAAAAGTTTATCTTGAAATCTTTCATGATTAATACTTAAATAACACGCAACAATCATATAATCGTAGAATCCCAAAGTGGAAAGGATACATGAGCTTGCATTTTGTTTTGGATATATCAGTTATAGTTAAATAATTGTTTTGTCGTTGTACGAAGGTTCCACTTGCATGCATGTTGTTTTCTTATAGATATATCAGCTGTAGTTACCTTAATGTTGTGTCGTTTATTTTTTGCACTGACATTCATGTTGTTTTGTTATAAATGTACGGATTACAATTGCAGTATCATATTGCTGTGTTTCTGTGGGTAGAGTGCTTCTAATTTCATACATGCTTTTAAATACTTGATGAAAAAGAGGATTGGAAAACCCCAACCCGAGAGTGATCGTACCCGTCGGGCACAATCTTTGACTACATCTGGTCCTAGGTTTAAGTTTTATTCCTGTGATGCGGTAGCAAATAGCGATTTGTTTTAGCGCGCGTGCATGTTTATGAACATTCTTGTTTTGTAATGGTAATAGACGTCTGCCTATAAGTTTTTGTAACTAAGTTTCGCTATCACCTTATAATATTTCTGAAACAACCACTTTGTCAAATACATTTTACAGTTTTTAACAATTCTTCATTTCTATTACAATCTATAACAACATGTTGTATTGCGTCTTAGCAAAGTGTTCCATAATCAAGACACGTTAAAATAATATTTGTTTTATTACATTTGCTTATCCATAATTCGCTAATCTGAGCAGCGTGGTCTAAGCTTATTGAATTATTTGAACATTCCCTCTATGTTTGTATGTAAAAACGAAAGCTATTAAATCAATCATCATTAGCCATTCTAAAGGTCCATTTTTCTGTTTCAAAAATATTTATTTTTCTTCATCATAATATTTTCCATGTCTCTTATGATCGAAAAACTCCAGTTTCTATTTAAACTTTATTCAGAACATTGGGAGATTATACTTTTTTTAAACAGTTACCATATCTGGGACGAATTTCATGCTTTTTTCCCCTCTGCTCTAAATACATGTTCATAGTCTAAAATTTAACACATGATTTGCTAAATCTTTGTTCGGCTTTTCACATAATTGTCTTAAAAACCTTAAATATCCAAGTTGTATTTCACATTCAATACTTTTCCAGCCCAACATACATACTAAGACGCATGTCCGTTCGTGTTTTGCAGTTAGTCTGATAAATTTATCAAGTCGTTCATAACCAGTTTTCTTTATGTGGGCCACAATTTGCAAAGCATACACATCTTTAAATAAGCGAAATTGCAGTCTGTTAATAGAAAACCTTTGACACCAAAAAGAATGACGTCTGATAACGTACTCCTATATTTTTCAGAAATACATTCTTATGAAAGCCTTACTAAGATGATCAGGTATTTACCTGTTAAACTGGGAGAACCCCTAGAACAATGTTGGATTTGGTAGGGGGGAGGGGGTATGATTGTTAAATAATTTACAAATAACAAGTATGTCATCAGTAATTACATTTATTATGTGTCGTTCTATCTGGGGTACATATGTTCTCATATTTATACTTAAATACATCGTCTTTATAAAACTTCTATCGACAAAAACAAAACATAAAACAACAACTACAAATTAAAAAATGCAAAAAAACAACAACAACAACAAGAAAACAACAAATCTATTTCATTGATACAATATACTCAATTTCATGAATTATATCGCAAACTGACTACATGTATTTCTATTATAAACAAGTCTTTATGAGGATACAAACTGTCTGCTCTTTAATAATTGAGTGTTTTAAATTATTATGAATAATGATTCCGTATATGCCTTATTAGTATGCAATTAACATCAGTCCGATATACATTTTTTTATTATGGAAATTACATTTTACCATTATCCATATAATGGTCTCATTGGTCATTGGTCTCCCTTGCATCACTTAGTCAGGTATACTATATATCAAAAGAAAAGAAAAATTAACATATAGTAATCGAAACTGAAACTTGAACTTAAAAACTTAATTTGTTTGCTTAGTGCTTAAACTTATAATATGGAAAAGCACTTTTGAGAAAACGAAAACCAGTAATCAGTATTATACCGATTCCTTTTCTTTTCATAATATAAAAAATCCCAAATTTGAAAGTTATTATTTATTATTTCAGAGACATTTGATGTAAAATCGATAAAAAATCCACTTTTCTGTTGTAGCAGGAATGAGATACAAAGATTGATAAAGAGCATATGTTTGATGTTATCTGCCTCTAAAAAGTCTTTCTTTTTAGATTTATTTTTATTTATGATTCAAATAGTTGTTAACGAATAAATATTGTTATGCGGGAAATAGCAGAAGTAACTTTGAGATCTTACTTGACATTTATTCTAGCTATGTACAAAATGTGACGGTCAAGATTTACGTCTGTTTCGAGCTTTTCTATTATATCTTACATTTCATTTGTCAACAATACATTTCACAATTTATGTATTTTGAGTAGCAACTGCGACATATTGACCATCGTGTATTTTCATTTTTTATAATACTGCACGTTTGTAAAGTCTTTTTTTCATTGAAAAATTGTAACGTTTATATAGTTTAACACACACCTGCTGTAATTTTATTAAGAAATTTAACTTTTTTATATAAAAATATAGTTTTCTGCCTTAAAAATTCGTTATAGATATTTCTGACAGGTTTTTGGACCGTATACAAACGGTTGTTTGAATAAAGGCTCTGCTTTGTATTTTGAAAAAATCGTTTAAATAGAGCAATATAACCTGTCAAATATTTTAAAACTGATAGTATACCTGCATATTGTGAAATGAACCTACGATAAATATACATGTCTGTCATGTTTATTTCATATACATAAATTATGAAATAAAACAATTTCGCATTTCGCTTTTGCAACTGTGTGCGTCTTTTCTTATTAAAATAGATATTAGTAGTGAACCTAAACTGTCATTTTTCTACATTAACAAGTGTATAAAGTATAACAGGCGTTTCTAATGAAATAGTTTCATTTACTTTATAAACGTTTACTTTATATAATGTTATACCATCATCTTATAGTGATTCCTGATAAAACTGTTATAGAATATTACTTTTATTTAACACATATGAATTTTTCTTCATACAAGTATTTTGTAAGGTTTCTTTACAAAACTTTTGTAAACTACAAGCAGCAGATATACAGTTAAATACAGACAAACCTTCCATTGTGTGATTACAGATATAGCTGTTATTTATAGCCATGTCTCTTTGATATGTTGTTAGAATGAGCATAAATAACGTACAATAATGTGAAACTCTTCATTTTAATAGCTTTTCCCACGACTGTGTAAATTACAAGTTCGTGATTGGAAACATTGAAGACTATGACCGAATTCAGGTTAATTCAATTGCATAACAATATAATTCACAGTCGAGGTATGTGCAAATGCTTATTCATTTTTATGAATATGTCAAGAGATACAATGTTATGATTTCAAGATTATTATCCTTAAAAAGTTAAAAAAAAATATTTCGAACTAGGTTACCATATTCAAATCATAAATGCATGCATCTGAGCACTAAACATACAAAACACGAATGGTAATTAAATCTTAAAATGATAACAATTTCATAAATTTTTTAAACGCTATGATATATTACAATTTCTGCCCTGTTCACTTTCTTTAAGCCTTGTACGCAACATCCAATTTTCTGCTGCGAGGTTCTCAGCTTTCATTCTTTCTTGTTCAGCAAATCGTCTGGCTTCTTCAAGTCGTTTTCTTTCTTGTTCATGTTGTTTATAATCATCCTTTATTCTCTTGATTTTTGCATCATGTTCCTCGTCCCTTATTCTTTCGCGTTCTTTTTCCTCCTTTCTAGCATTTTCTATTCTTTCTTCATATAATCTGTGATGTTCAATAAGTTTTGCCTCGAGCTTTATTCTTTCTTTTTCTTGTGACTGTATCAGTTCTTGTTTCATTGTGTCTAGTTTTGTTGTTACAAGTTCTATTTGTTACAAACGATATCATTTGAAAAATAAAATTTTCAGAACAGACAGCCATACGTGCAGAAAAAATGAAGACAAAACAGTTAAGACAGTTTTGATATAAGACTGAAGACCACGAATTTAATAGCATCATTCTTAATCGTTAGGAAATAGGCCATGTAACATTTTCAGGACTTGAAATGAATGAAAATTGTTAAATAATTACACGTAATTTGCTTGTCATCAAGACAAATGCAAAAACAGATATAACTGAATAATTTACCTTTTGACTCTTTCTCTGTCAATCTTTTATCCTCTGTCATTATCTGCTTATTCTCATGTGCCATTTGTCTTTCAAAATCGTGTTGTGCCCTTTTTCTCTGTAATCAATATAGGTGTCTCTAAGTACATCACATAGTTCTCTTGTAACAAAAAGCTTAGTTTCAAAAATGTAAACAAAACACAACTAAACAAAATGCGACGCTACTTCATACAGGACAACCGGCAAGGAACTCAGCAGAATATCGAAAAAAAAACAACAAAAAACACCAACAACAACAGGACTAGTGTTTAGATGAACTTATTAATCCCTAATCCTCCGTACCGCTATCAGTACCTTCTTACTACTATCTTTCCCCCGTCGTCGACACACAGAGCGCCTTTCTAACGGACCATTCCAGTTTTATCATTAACATTTTAGCCCCGCATTTTATATTCATTGCTAGGTCATTTGCTCAAAATCAGTACCACAAACAAAACTATGTAATCTTTTGTTAAGCAACTGGATAACTAGTCAGTCAATTTGCATAAATGGTATACACTGGAAGTAGTCTGTGAGCTAGTAAGGAGTAAGTATTCTTTTAGTGACAGTGTTATACGTATATATATACACAATACACAAGATGAACCGCCATAGGACATATAGTCACTACAAGATCATATGACACTGTTAGTTCTTACTTGTTAACCAATTCTGGTGCGTTCCATGACACTTCTAGTGGAGCACCGCAGTTTAACATAGTTTGCAATTATAGCCAATCAATTCAAGGTATAAAAAACCAGAAAAGACATTAATAAAGTTAAATTATTGATGTGATGTTGGAAAAAAATAAAAGAATACAAATAAGACTGCTAAAAGTGTAAACCAAAATTAAAATAAAACATGCTTTGTAACAGGAAAAGCGCGAGTGTCTGATGATGAAGAGGACCAAACCAAAAAAGTACCTCAGCGATGTCTATAATGTTGAGTTCTTCATTATATTCATCATATAGAAAACGTATGTCTCTGTCGTAGACATCGTGACCACCAGAAGTTGCGTACTTCCCCACCTTAATGTTTGCTTTCACAGTTTTCTCGTGCATTTTGTGGAGAGTATTTATACATTTCTCATACAAAAGCCCTGAATTATGCTTTTCGAAATGCTCATAAAGGGTTTGCATTTCAGCCTGCAAAAATAGAATGATGTAAATATTGTTGAGGAAATAATAGCAAGAAGTATGAGCTGACATAATATTTTTACTAAATACTTTTCTACATTGTAGATCGTAAATTCATTCATAGGATGCAAATAGAGAACTCTGTATATCTGAACATTTAAGTTGACGACAAGTAACGTTTATAAGGACAACATTGTTTATTGAGAATATCTCTCATATTCCTATCTGGTCAAACCAGTTAGATTAAATTAGATAGATATTGAATACAATAACGAGAACAAAAGAAAATCTAAAGAAGAAAGGCTGTTTGATCAATATTTAAATGTGATGTAATTCGTAAATAAGATAAACAAACTCTTTAAAAGACAAATACTTCTTTTTACCTCTGTTGACTTTTGGAATTTGCTGTCTGTATCGAACATCAGTTTGGACTGCAGACTTGATAAATTCTCTTTTTTGAACTTTAAGTTTGAATCACACAATTTGTTTTTGTCATATACCGGAAGCTGTATTTGTTTCAGAAATACTTTGTACTCTTCGGCAGCTACCTTTGCGTGTTTTTTGTTTTCTTGTCTTGTCATGATCAGCATAGCATCTTCGACACATGGTACATTGCCATCACTTATTGTAGTTACATATTCTCTTAGAAGTTTAGCTAGCACTACAATGAGAATATCATTAATAAATTTAAATAACATGTTCCCTCAAAACCAAAAAGCTTATTTTGGACAAAGGGCCAACGAAACTAAAATGAATTACTGATATTGTCTCCTAAACATAGCTTTTTACTGTTAATTTGACTTTGCATTATACAACAAATCGAGATTTTTTATTTTTTTTAGGTTTCTACATAGAATACTTACACTTAGACATACACTATTTGATACTCTAGCATAGAACAAAAAGTAGAGAACATTAAAAAATATCTATCAAACTACTCCATTCAATTCATATTTGTATAGTTTCACTTACAATTCTGATTGTTCAAACTCTAACTGAAACAAATGTAAATAAATATATATACAAATAATAAAATGATTATAACAAGAAATTGAAACATTTATTTAAACATTTTCTCATATATATCAGTCTCACGAGCGTTTTTTTTTCTACAGGATGAGACAATATTTAATGATAATAAACCACTTACTGCTTCCTGTTACGGGTGATTTATTAAGAAGATATTTCCCTGGGCAAGTATAGATATATGCCAAGAATTTCTCTGTTTCATGCACAAAATCTTCGTTAAGGTCTTCTTCTCTGGCCAAATCTAAAGTTCTCATTACTTTTCGGCTGGCTGGTCTGTCAAATGTAAACACTTTCCTTCGTGTGAAGTATTTCTTAATACATTCTCGTGGTCTGTTATATTTGTCATCTTCTGGGGTCTCACCGGTTTTTGTTTGGAGACACATTTCTAGATATTCATCTGCCGTTATTTCGTCTCCATTCTGTTCTAGGTCAAGATTGAAATCTCGGACACAAAGTACAAATTGAGGCATAATATTTTGAAGATCATCATTAGACGGATCGTTTGCGGATACTTTTATATTTTGTGATAACATAGTGACATATATAAAAAGTTGTCAAGGAAGTAAATAACAAAATTAAAAAGAAGTACTTGCGATCGTTTAAGCGTTATTTAAATTTAAAATTCTTGGGTTAATAATGGTAATGCGTCTTCAAGATTTAAGTTCCCAGGTCAAATACATAAAGTCATTTAACGTAATAATTTTTTTAATGTCTTCAACACTGTATTGACGACATTATTCAGGTATAACGATGTGCTCTCATTTTTGCTTTTGGAAACATCGGTTTAATTGCAGGTTTTCCATAATTCATATTTCAGATATCATAACACTGGTTTTATCTATCAATTATGTCAAACCTTATTGTGTTATACAACTAACGAGTAACAGTCCATGATATATTAAAAAGGACGCTTATTCTTGAAATTCATAGTAATATTCTTGAAATTCATAGTAATGTATATCCATTACAACCAACTGTCTACATATGACATGAGCAGACCTAATAGCGTCTTGCAATACGCGATGAAAAAGAAATTAAAACAGCAGAAAAAGGATACGTTAGTTTCTCAACTGCATCTTGATTAAAAGCTGACATCACATTGTAGACTAACGTGCTGCTGATTAAAGTAGTCAGAGTAAATATTTTATTGTCATGGTCGATATCCCCCTATAAAGACATTTATTTGACAATTTTAACATATATATTGTTTTACATTTTCAATGTTTTCAGAACATTTACAAAATCTTCACAAAAGTGTCCTATATCTACATAAATATAACAATTTATATCAAATGCTATTATAGCAAAAGCAAAGAACAACCAGGAAAAGCTCTTTTTACCAATGAACAAATGGATCTATTTGGGCCAGGACCATATTTCCTCATGTTACACCATACTAGTTAGTCCTAGAAGGCGGACCGATCAAAGAGGCATTCAAATGAGCTTCAAGCTTTCTCCAAAGCAAAGTCCAAGTAAGTATGCATTTATAAATCAACAGCGTATCGTTTGCAAAACATCATGGCTACATATTCTGAAACTAAAACAAAGATAACTCTATACTAAGTATTTCCATTAATTATATATACTTTTATCAAACACTTTTTATAAATCACCTTCGTAGCATCTCCTAAACCTTCAGTATCAAGTAACAGTAATACTTCATTTTGTTTTTTAGGGTGTCGTCTGCACCAGGCCCAAATACCTTTAGTACATGACTCTATTGAGCTACCCATCAGGAACCCTAAAATTGTAAAACAAATACGAGTATAATGTACTATATAACGGAACTATTAATTTTTTATAGTAAAACTATTCCCCTTTTAACGTTTAAGATCATAAATCTCAATTGAAAGAACATATATGCAACATATATATTATTTATAGATATACATGTAGATATCAGAAGATGTTTTTGAAATCATTTCCAACTTTCATGTTTGAAGAAAATAAGATAATAGTTTTGATAAGCTGTGCTTTTCTATAGATTAAAAGATGAACAAAAAGGAAGAGGCTATTGTAAGTACGGGGTTTGCTACTTTTAATAAACTCGACTACCAGGACTAGATATCGATAAAATTTTAACTTGAGTATTCTTGTTTAAACAAAAACGTTATCCTGCTTAATCTGTTATTGTAGAGACACTGGAAAAAGACTATAATTCGATCGTTAATGGTCTTTATTTGGCTAAAAAGGTCGGCATCGAAGGTTCTTTAAAATGTGTTGTTTAACTGGTTAAGTGTACAAACAGCATGGTAATTCCCTCCACGGTTCACAAAATCTATGGTTATCGGAAAGAAAACTTCACATATGATTTTATAGACTTTTATTATATCGAATTGATCATTAAAACCACCTACCAGAGTTTCTTCCAGTCAATCGATTCATCAGGTAGGATTTACCTGTTCTATAAAGGCCAGCTATAGCTACAACATTTAATGGCATCTCAATTTTCTCTAATGCCCTTACTGTGTCATCTACAACTTCAAGACGTCCATTGTCGGATGAAATCAAACACATCGGCCTTTCAAATATCAAATCTTGTTCTCTAAAAATATTTATTTCAATTGCAATGAAATAAAATTGGTATGGTTTGTTTAGATAAAACTTTATCTGTAGGCAATGATGAATGCACTGCTGAAAAAACTGTACCTTCATGTGTTTTTGTTTTGTTACATTTTTACATCTTTGTCACATATTAAAGGGTAACATGTACGAAAAGAAATCCCTCTCCCTCGAAAAAAGGAGAACAAAAGATCAACAAGACAAGGCGAAGTTTACAAACCATAATAAACTTCTACATACACAATATGTATCAGTCTAGAACATTCACAATATGTTTAAGATATCATTTTATATTGTAAAAACAAATATCTATTAATTCATATAATTGAACATATACATGTAATAAATAAGATTTTGTTGGAGTCATACCTATCTTTGTCAAGCTCTTCTGACATAATCGTCTGTTCAGTTTCATATTTTACCGCAACTCCTGAATGGACTTTGGTGCCAGTATAGGATTTTTGTCCATCTTGACGTCCCATCAAAGTGGTGCTAAAAATAAATGCCCAGAAACTATGTTTTGATAATGAAATGCCCAACAAAGTGAAGAGACAAAGTAATAAAAAATATATATTTAATACGGAAAATCAATCTCTACAGCAGAATAACAACAACAAAAACAGGAATAACAAACTGTCTTGACCGTCATATCTCTGATATCTGTGAATTTTCAGCTTTTACATTTTTTTTAAATGGACAACATTATCAATATCGGGGTTTTGTTTCACATTAGGCCAAACTAGAGTCATAAAACGATGTAATTATAATAAATATTTAGCCCAGAACGTTCTCAAACGCTTTATTACAATGTCATCATTTTACCAATTGAGCGTTCGTTAACTACCAGTGTCTTGAAACGACACTATAGTGACCACCTTAAGCCATCCCCACGTCATAAATAATCTCCATTAATGTCTTAATTCTTGAAACAATGTTATAATAAATACAAAAATAAGAGTCTCCAAAGTATCATATAACGATACAATAATAGCATCATTTAATAAATCAACATTATTGCCCATGAACAATCTGAACATCTGTCATATAAAGGTTTCATTGGCATCTCGTGCATTATTTTCAGTAATCATATAAATTACAGCTGGGAACGAAAAAAGAATTTGATGTTCGAATATTCGTTTTTACACTATTTGTTCCAATATTTCTCTTTGACGTTTAAGTGTCCGAAATTGATTGAGTCGAGTTCTATACAACTTTAATTTGCCTGGAATAATCGACGATTTAAAAGACATTTATTACTATGTCAACAGTTTTTATTACATTTATTGCAAATCAATACATAAGTTTACTTCATAAATTCATAATTTGATTTTCTTTTGTTCGGTTAATCCGACTGCTGATCATTTGTCTTATTAACGGGAGGTAAATCGTGTGACTTGACTGACAGTTATATGAATCATCGTGGCCTCTTATCTCCAATAACACATTATTATATTGAATCTTAACTTTAGATAAATTTAGCTATAACGCAGTTAATATCACAGGGAGTCTAATTTCTACGGAATAAATATCTTAAGAAGGAAAACGCACACTTCCCATGCTTTCATAACGTGCCGATTTATTCTTTTTCACATAATTTAAGACAATTATTGACTGATCAAGATTCAAGATTTTATTAAGTCACAAACATAACCAAAATTCAACTTATTTCATATTTTTCCATAATAAAAATACGCCAATTACAGACATGAAGTTTTCATTGTTTAATAAAAAAATGTCTTGGACGCCATACCTTATTTTATCAAGCTCTTCTGACACTATCTTCTTTGCAACTTCAGTTTCTCCATTTTCATCAAAATTGGCAAGTTTATCATTATCAGGGTTTTGCTCCTCATCCTCAATAGGTACCACTAGATCACTGGAACGATATTTTCTTAAAATAAATCATTTTACTGAATTTCTTAAATTATGTTCCTTTGATGCAACATTCAGCCCCTTAAGTATCCTGAAACGATGTAATCATCGTCTAATTTATACAAATAAAGTTCTAAGTTCTATGAAGCTAAAGCGATGTTATTGATAAATTAACAACCCATTTATACGTTCAGGAACTACGTTTTACGCCCTATATAGTGCCCTATAAATCCGACTGCTGATCATTTGTTTTATTAACGGAAGGTTACTCATGTGACTTGACTGACAGTTATATGAATCATCGTGGCCTACACATAGTTATATTGAATCTTAACTTTAAATCAACTTAGCTATAACGCAGTAAGTATTACACGGAGTCTATTTTCTAAGTAATAAATATTTTCAGACGGAATATGGACACTTCCCATGCGTTCATAACGCGCAGACTTATTCTTCTTCACAAAATTTAAGACAATTATTGACTGATCAAGATTCCAGATTTTATTAAGGCACAAACATAACCAAAAATCAACTTATTTCATATTTTCCATAATAAAAATACCCAGATTACAGACATGAAGTTTTCATTGGTTAATAAATTGTCTTGGATGCCATACCTTATTTTATCAAGCTCCTCTGACACTATCCTCTTTGCAACTTCAGTTTCTCTATTTTCATCAAATTTGGCAAGTTTATCATTATCAGGTTTTTGTTCCTCAATTGGTACCACTAGATCACTGGAACGATATTTTCTTTAAAATACATCATTTTACTGAATTTCTTAAATTATGTTCCTTTGATGCAACATTCAGCCCTAAAGTATCCTGAGACGATGTAATTTTCGTCTAATTTATACATATAAAGTTCTAAGAACGATGTTATTGATACATAAACAATCCATTTATACGTTCAGGAACTACGTTTTTACGCCCCACATAGTGCCCTTAAACGACACAAAACATAATTTTTACAAAACTAAGGTCTATATTGCATTTCAATTTCCTTACCTTTCATATAAAAAGATCTAAGCCACAAAAAAATTAACATTTATGAATTAATATTTTTCTTAAATGTCTTGGACATCATTATCATACCTTATTTTATTAAGTACTTCTTACATTTTATGTATTAATTTCCCGTGGAATTCAGGTTTCCACATTTTTTTGAATATGGAAATCGGGTTTATGTTCTGTAATAGCCAACATTCAGTTATGAAACAAAGATTTTAAATTACAAAAAATAAGCTCTTTTCTGTCCCTTAACAATATTATTATGATATCATTATGTAACCCATTCATCGTCCGTAAACCATGTTATAATAGGAACATTAACCCAACGCATGCATTGAAACGATACTTTAATTCAACATGAACCCCCAGCGCCCTTAAAGTGTGTAACTACAGTATATTTTTTAAAATGTCATATGGCAACTTTTCACCTATAATGGTGGATGAAGAACTCAGGTTCCCCTAATGCATTATTTCAGATAAGATAGGGTGTCTTATAATAACCATCGATGATCCATTATCTATCTGAATAGCTTTCTCACAAGATGGGATTTTAACCCACAAAGATGAGAGGCAAGTTGTTCGAAATTCATCCAAATTATATACTCAATATTCATTTCTGAAACAATGTTTAATTATAACAATATGTTCGACATTTGTCCTGAAACAATACAGTAATAGCATCAAATAAATCTACATAAATGCCTTGAAAAATATGATTTTATTAATAATTCATTTGAAACATGTTCTGAAACTTTATACAATATCAAGAGACCGAAATTATATCTACGCCGCGAATGGTATCTATTGATAAATAAATACTTCTTAAAATGTCTTATAGCGTTATACCTCTCTTTATCAAGCTCTTTTGATGTCATCGTCTTCTCAGTTTCTGCTACAGTTTCGAAATGGATCCGTGTACTTGTATCACTTTTGTGTTCAACATAATGCCCTACTGAAGTCCTGAAACGATTATATAAACTTAATAAACATTTTTACTCAAATAAATCCCACAAACTATGACATATATATCTATTACAATTCACATAACCTTATAATTTACCTCTTCGTATAGTAGAACATTTTCAATAACAGATATAATTTGATTATTCGAATTGAATAGTTCTGGCTTTGTCGTACCTCTCTCTGTCACATTCTTCTGACATTTTCGTCTGTTTAGTTTGAGTTTCTTCCATTATTTCCATTATTTTTGAATGGACATGTGTGCTAGTATCCGGTTTTTGTTCATCATTAAGTCCCACAGAAGTGCTGAAACGATGTCATAGTAACAACAATTATCTAATATAACAACATTTAGTCCCACACTACTTTCATAACTTTTTCTTTAAGAAAGAAAATTTAGTCGCGACAATAAAAGTACTGACAAATACTCCTTATATCTTGAGCTTTATACCTATCTTTATGAAGCTCCTCAGATGTTTTTTCTGCTTTGGATTCAGTTTCAGAATTGGCATGCATGCCACTATCAAGTTTTTGTTCAACGCCAATATCCATTGGAGAGCTGAAATGATGGTTAAAGACTAACTGAAATTCATAAAAAGTTTTAATATTTCTGTTATATCAACAGCATTTAGGCCAATACACTTCCTTGAAACTTCATTTATCTCCAACAATTGCCCTGAAACATTGTTATAATAAGATTATTTATTCATATTCATGCTATGGTGCTGAATCGATGCCATAAAATGCAAAATGAAGACTGTTCATAGATTTTTACCGGTATGTACATGTACATTGCATCGGTCGATAAGCGTTCTTAAATTATGTTAACACAATATCATTCGTCGCAAACTTCAACTATGAAGCGATATTTAACTAACGTTTTTATCTTCTTCACGTTTACATCTTCAAACGTCTTATTACCATGACAACATTAAACCACACAAGCTACCTGATATGATGTTCATAAATAAATAATAACAAAAGCGTCCTCAAATAATAATAATAATAATATTACCAAATAAGCCCGGCGCGTGCCCAGAAACTATGTTTTAAAAACGAAGCTACCCTGATAAACTGGTTAAATGAAAGGTGTCTTGTTAATCAAAATTCAAATGAAGAGACCGCGTCTGACATAATTATATAAATGTTAAGCTTTTCTAGGTGCATTTATAGGACACGCGCATTAGAATGAAGATGTTCCTCGTCAGAGCGTATTATAATGTTTCTGTTTTTTCTTTAACTGTCTCGATTTTAACATTGTTTCATGTCATACATATATAAAAGGCCACACGAGAAAGTGATGCAATTTCGTATAGCCACATTATGGGCTGTCATAAGCGTAAGGAGTCGTTAGACAGTTTTTAGTTTCACAAGGGTACAAACGTAACGTAACAAACGTACTTTAGAGAAAAACCGAATCTCTAAAAACGCCATAATGGTGCGTGTGCGACTTTATTGAGCCTGTTCTAGGACGGAAGTGGTACAATGCCCGCCCACTAGCACTGGCTTAAGCAGTATTCAACATTTCCAAATGACAATCTTGAACATAAGAATTAAGATACATGTCTGCCGATGTGAAGCTGATGTGAAGCTTTTGCACGAGAGCAACAAAATGTAGCAAAAACAATAAATTAAATAAAATGCGAAGAATTCAAACAACCCTTAGCGTCCCAAACCGTAAACAATGTTAGAACAAAAACGATATTTTACTTACTAGTCTAGTCTTATCCCGTCTGACATTGGACTCTGGAAAATAAGGATCTCGTTTATTTCCTATTTCAATATAAGATCCTTTCAGTAGCTACATCTGAAATATTTAAAATGTTCGAAAGCTTTGTAATGATCAAAATACAATATGAGAGACGCTTAAGATATCAATTTGATTTTACTTATAATCGTATCATGAACTTTCCGTTAATCAAGACTCGAGTTTATTACTGATTAAAGATATAAAAACAACATATGTTCTTTAAAAATTCATTATCTGTATTCAAAAGTAAAAAAAAAATACACAATTTAAGAAAAAAAATAAATGTACTTTTCCCATTTTGAGATCGATAATATATTTTGTCTTCGTTTACAGATAAGCTTGTATAATATTTACTTTACGGCGTGATATAACTTTCAATCGATACAAGAATATCTTTACTTCTTTGCATGAAACACGAATCAAGTACTCATTATTTCCAATTACTAGTTTGTTAATCCATTTGTAAAATTCGTATCGCTAAAACATTGTTCTTAATCAAACACGAAGAAACCAACAACATTCTATAGGTGCTGATTGTATGATTACGAACCTTATACTAGACAACACAAATATGATATAAGGTACACATGTATATTCCGTTGAAAAATCGTTGGATCGATGTGCAGCTATCTTATCGGTGCAATACGGTTTTCGGAAAATTGTATCTTATTTTCAGTAGGAAAATCAATTGTGATATACATAGAGTTTAAAAATGAAGATCTTTACATTGAGTCCGTTTATTGAATTCATATAGACTAAGTGTTTTACCGTATACCTGATAAGATGTAAACCATTATCACAAGGCCTGCCTACCTGCTGAAGGAAGTCCGACTACATGTACTCAAATAATATAAAAAACCAAGACAAATCATCATCATTTAAGATTTATAACATGATCATGAGACCAACATACAAAGTTCAGGGGGTTAAAGATTACAAATAGGTTGGATGAGAAAAGCCATCTAAGTGTTGGGCAACATGTAATTTGAACGAGACCACTTTATATTATTTGAGATGAATATCTGTTACATTAATGTTACGTTTTAACGCAACCAATTTACGTTATTTGAGATGTGTGACGGTTACATTTACACGACAATTTTACCTGATTTAAGATGTAAAACTGTGACATTACTTCGAGATCAGTTTGCCTTATTTAAGTAACTGTTACATTATGACAAAACCAGTCTACCTTATTTGAGATGCATAACTATTACATTACTTCGAGATTGGTCTTTCTTATTGAAAAGAATAGATACATAACTCAGCAACCAGTCTACCTTATTAGCTTGGCTTTTCTTTAAGAAAAAGAAACAGAAAAGGTATTGCCTCAGACACCTCGGCGTTCCCGTTGCCGTCCGCAAACTTTAACCTTGATCATTACTTTTTCAGTTCTTGGTCTATTGTCTTCATACGTGGTCACAACAACCCTTGTGCCAAGACTTTTATGCAAACCACACTATAACTTTGTTATTTTGCTCCTAACAATAATGATTGACAACCCCCTACCATAAAAAATCACATCTAAAATATATCAATATGGGCAATCTTCATGAAATTGCAGCATACTCAAGAATTCGCCCGATACCTTTAAAAATGTCACTAACACACAGTGCAATTAATGGCATTTACAAAAATGACCGATAAAGTGTCTGTCACACGTTTAGATTTTTCACAAAATTTATCTTGTTTGGCGCCAACTGTCGAAGCTTGATTTTTAAGTTTTTCACCCCCATTCTTAGTCACAAATACATACAAAGCTTCCAAAATACTTAGTTTCGGGTAAAACCCCAAAATACTGCTCATTTCCTACACACAAACAAGAAAGAATTACAATGACAGAGAAATATCAAAACTCTCCAGTACCTTCAAAACACCATGTCTGAGTTATTAAAAAACTTTACCGGGGCAATCATTTGGATATGTCCCCTGCCCCTTTACATTACCATGAGACCAGTCCATCTCATAACAACACGAATCCACTTTACCTCATTCAGATGTATAAATGTTACATAACTACGAGACCACTTACATTTTCTAAAATATGAAAAACAAGATCAACAAGGAAAGGCAGCGTTCAATGAACGCAACCCCCATATGACCCAGCAACAAGAACCAATGGCAAGGAGCCCAGGCGGACCCCAAACATAAAAAGGACAGGGCAACGACACGTTAATCATTAAATGATAAATAATTTGTAACTGATTAGGAATTCAAAAAAAATAATAATAGGCCCACAAAGGGGAAGGGGACAGGAGACCGGGGGAAGGGGGGGGGGTTAATCAAAGAAATAAAAACTAGAGGCAATGGGGAAGATACTTACCGTAGACGAGAAAACAACAAGGGACACAAGCAAAAGTGTCACCAAAACAGTATGAAACAACATAGACATACATCTGAGGAACACAGTGGGGCGCCGCCTTGGAACGGTCAGCAGCATAATAATGACTGCTGGGGAGTTTAAACCGGTTAATGGTGCACCAAACCTCGCTCTTAGCCCCACCATGTTCCTATAAACGAGACAGTGTAAATAAAATGAATCCCGCGCCAAGTGAAATTCTAACAGTTGTCATGGTTACAAAAGGTTAAATAAGTAAAACACTAAAATGATCATGTAGAAACATATAAAAGTAAACCCAATGACCATAACAAAAGTACTCAATGTCCTAAAGGAAGACAGAGCAACAAGAAAATCACCTACAAGGGCCCGACGAAGCAAGGCAGAAGACGAACATTAAGACAATTCAGTCCCAAAGGGCTTTACGAACTATCCATCATAGAGTCTCCCACTTGGTCCGTCAGATGCAATCAAAAGAGGAAAGCGAAGTGTCCAACTGTAAAAGGGTTGAACACTAAACATGCAGTATGTCTTAAAATAGTAGGGTCATAACCTCTTTTAATAAAACGTTTAATAATTTTAGTAAAAACAGCAGAAAAATTACCATGACCCAAAATCTTACGAAGTTTGTAAACCACATCGCCATAAAAACCAGGCTGGCTAATCCCTTGTCGCAGAAGAGTTTTTAAATCACTATTGAATTTAGAAATTAAATCAAAGTTACGATTGTAAAATTTAGTAAAATATTTCCGTAATTTATGATAGCGGTAGCCCTGTTTTAGAAGCTTGCTGGTAATAAAAATATTCCGCTCGTTGAAATCCTTTACTTTGTTACAAGCTCTAGCGAATCTAATTAACTGAGAAACATAAACCCCGTAGGATGTTGCATGGGGTACGTCTCCATCCAAATGTGGATAATTAACTATACAAAAGTCAAAGTCATCTCTTTTATCATAAATTTTCGTGTGAATAGAATTATTGTTGATAGTAATATGAAGATCCAAAAATGATGTACTAAAATTTCAAGAGTTCGTTTTATTAAGTTGTAGTTCATGCGGATAAATGTCAGACACCATTTGATCAAAATAAGGATTATCTAAGACGTATAACTGTTATATTATGACGAGACCAGTCTTCATTTAGTTAAGATTCATAACTATTACATTAATGAAAGACCAGACTTTGTTATCTTAGATGTATAAATGTTAAATTACTACGAGACCGCTTAATGTTATCTAGGATGTATAACTGCTACATTACTGCGGGAGCACTGTTCCTTATTCAAGATGAGAAACTGTAACATAACTACGTGACCACTGTACCTTATCTTTTACTTTTACCACGAGTTTAGTATTCCTTATTATGATGCATTCCTGTCATGAGATATATAACATTATCACGAGGTCCATCTGCAAAGCTTAAGCTTAATATTTAACCTACTTATTATTTAAAATGTGCATGACCTCATCCTTCCTAAAAAAGGGTAGATATATTATATCTTTCTATATTCATTGAAAGATTGAAATACACCTGTAATTGCTACAAACCTTCATTGGTTTTCTGTACAATTACATCGAAAATCACCAATTATGAGTTAAATAAGTTTACATATTGGGCAAACGAAATTACTTTACCAGTCTTGTCTTATTCAATATGGTCCATGTCTTGCGATTACAAATTCCTGCTGTTTCCGGTCGTTGTACGCTTACCGGGTGCCTTAACATTTTACTTTTTTGTGAACACAATAAGTAGACTCGTTCTTCCATCGTTTTTAAGTTGCCTTAGTAATAAACTGTATTTCCCCCGAGTAATGGCTAATTGAAATATGTTTTCAAACAATCCGATTTTTATCAAATTCATCTAAAATACATGAACACATCACTGTCCACTTACATAGCGTCATGTAAATAAAAGAAGTTACAAGAAAAGCATTGATGCAAAGCATCAAATTAAGAAATGTTGCAAGTGACGATGAACTAGTAGATATCTGATGACCTGATATCTTCTTATAAACTTTTCAATGGTAAATTGGATTTAACCAGAATTGGTAATCATAGAAAAATGGGCGGACGAAAGACATTGTTCATCATGAACTTTGGTAGGCTTGCTAGAGATAAGAATATTTAATGTATACACAACAGTAGTCAAAATAAACAAGATGTTTTTTATTATTATAAATGTTACAAATATACAAACAGAATATAAAAATAGTAACAAAATAGTTGAAAATAGTAACATAACATGCATTTATTTCATGTCAAATAAAAACAAAATAGTTTCTATTAAAACATAAGACATAAGATACAGTAGTTATATTTCAAGCCCAGGTATGTAATAAGAGTAGAAGACACACTGGAATGAAATATCTGGGATGAATATCAAAAAGACTAAATTCAGGATTTATTTTGTATACGCGTAAACAAAAATAATGGTGCATTAAAAATCATGAATAGATTTACATGGCATGTTGATATGGTAAAACCTTACCTGTCAATAATGAAAGACTGTTTCCTGACACGTATGAGGAAATTCACAAAATCATATTCATGCTTGTCAAAGATATAAAATATACTTGACATTGGTGTTAAGTAAAGAGCTATTAATAACTGATTTATCGGGGGATCAATCTACTATTTTATTGAAATGCTTCAAAATTCTCCTCTGAACCACCAGTCTGTACACATTCTTATAAATAAACATATAACACCTCGTTTTAAAACTACAGACGAAAGTTTCTGTGGTTAAAATATCACAGTATTCGGCAAATCAACATTCTACTCAAACCACCAAAAAATCAATTGCCTTGACAAAAAAATAAAAGAAAATATTTTTTACAGCAAAATTTCGGGAAGTAAGAGTCTATTAAAATATCCACGGAAGTGCAAACAATTCCTTAAAGGAGCTATTATTCTACAAAAATATGTAGTACGTTATTTTTTAACATAGCACGACACGAATGACTGTTTCGTTTTTAAAAATCAATAAACAAAACTACCCTCTCACAAATCGAAATGTTTTCGGCTAAGACTGACGGAAAAAATTGCCCACAAAATCTGAATTGTTTCCATAAAAGGCAGTTGCGCTTCGGCGCACACGCCAAATTAAAGACAGTTGTGGTACCATATTGAAAGTTATACTCGGGAATGTAAAGTGTTGCCAAGATATAAACAAAACGCAGGAAGCAGGGAACGGAAATGATTCAGTTA